TAAGGGGAATTCTTTGGCTTGGTAGGAAAGATTATAACCTCTTCTGGAAAGAGTATAACCTTAACTGTCCGCAGGCCATCAGGAAGCGGTTAGCTTGCTATAAATGAAAACCAGCCCCTTGTTATGACCATATTGCTACCCTCAATTTCATATTAGTTTTATATAAATGATTAGAAATAATTTATTGTGTATGAGTTGCCACATATCCACCTTACATTCATTGATGATGGAAATTCAACTTCCTAGTCCTACCACTAGTGAACCTCACTAATCCAGCTTTCCCCCTCAATCATCTTTACCTGTTAAATCTAGCTATGATACTAATTTACCATAATACCTTTATACTTATAATAAATTACCACAATATTCTTAAATATTTTATTTAAATGATTAAGACTATATAGATAAATTATTTAATTTAAATATATGTAAATAAGTAAAGTGATTAGTTAGTAATTGATTTATTAAATAAATTCTCTATAAAATTATTGAATATAATTAATTAATTAATAATTAATAATAACTTTTTCTAAAATTACTGTATTGTAATTTTACTTAATAATAAAATTACCCACAATTTATTTAAAATTATGAAACTAGATAAAATTATTAAATTAATATACATAATTAATCAGTATTTTTTAACAAATAATATTACTAAAAAATTATTAAATAAAATTAACTAATTGATAATTGATAGTAATGTGCCTAGACTTACTATAATAGCCTTCTATTTAATAATTCAATTATTATAATATTAATATTACTTACTAAGTAATTAATTTAATACATATTTATATGGTTTTATAATTTTAAATAAAGTACCATATTATGGTAAATTTAATGACAAAGTTAGATTTAACAATTACTTTAAATGAAAAGAGTTAGATTTAACAATTAAATTTAAAAAGTATGGGGTAAATTGTTCAGTAAGTTGTAAAGTGTGGAAATTCTTTGTTCAACTTTGTAGCTCGTAAAACCCCAGGGTGGCTGGAATGGTTATGTTAAGTAAGAGTAATATAAAATGGATTGCAGCTACAAATGGATTGCAGGATCATGGTCGAAATTTCTTGAGGCCTTTTTACACTGCATGTAACTAATTGCTTTGGCAGCACGAATTCTCTATTCTCATCCAACTTGCATTTTCCTGATGAAAATTTTATGATCTGTTGATCGATGCACCTTCACTCTTTGATTGTTTAAATGATTATATTCTAATCTTCTTCTTTTCTAACATTGATATTTAATTTAAAATACCAGCACATACTGGAAAACCGACGATGAAGTGGGAGGAATGGCCGGGTTAGGAGGGGAGGTTGATGCCCATCCTTATGTCTCCTTCACAATCAATCTCGTTTGAGCAACGCATAGACTCATTTCTTTGTTTGCTTCAAAATTCCAAGAATTGGTTCACACAGCAATAATTCCGGCTAGGGATGGGAGACACTGTATATTAGCCTGAGAAGAATCTTGATTCTTTCTGTTGTTTATTTTTGATGTTGGCATGGGGAGTTCCAGCTAGGTTTTTGTAATACAGAACAATTGAAGTCAATGGGAGGCGTGGTAGTCCCAAGATTTGGTTTATGAGGTTTTTAATTCTGTCATTTAACAAGAGCGACTTCACTGCGTGTCTAGGTGTACTTTAATGTTTATTTAGAATGATCTGCGACTGAAAGATATATTTATTGAGATTTGAGTTCTGAACGTTCAGTGTGGAAAGCAGTTCTTGGATGCCTTCTTTTCCATGTAATAAAAAGAACTGCAGAATTTGATGGTCAGACACCTGGTTGTTTGGATTTTCGTGCTTTGAATGTTTTCACTCCCTTCGCATTTGTCTGATTCTCTCTACCTAAAGAAGGGACAGATCCTTACTTGCCTTTAAATCTAGCTTTTATGTCAGGCTAAACTGTTATCCTACGTTTTCAGGTTAAATTTTGCAAAATTACATTGAAAATCTTTTCAGATGGAATGAATTTCACATTTTTTTTTCTTGGAAAAATGAAAACGTAATAGCATCGAATCATATCAAATGAACAACTACTTTGTGCTTTTTCAACATGAGCCAGTAATTTTCAGACACTTTTTTAAAAGGTTAGATTTCTCTCCCCCTGTTTTTAGAATATTCTGGCTGTCTCGTGATGAGCTTTATCTACAGCTCCTCATGAGCCGTATTTAGAGTGCCTCTCATTAACAACAGCTTTTGGACTACTTCTGAGGATCCGGTTGTTGCTTAGGCTCTTGTTTTTCGATTTGCAATTCCCTTCTCTGTTGTTTACTTGCTGGTTTATTGCTTGCCCTACGTTTGTTACTCATGTTGTCGTTTCTTCTCTGGCTAGCGTTTTCCCTTACACTTTTTGGTGCTTGGAGTTCCTTCTCTACTTTATTTATCTTTTTGCCTTCAAAAAAGTTAAAAGAATAGCTGTTTAATTAGTTCTTATTCCTTTCTATTTCCACTGGATGTTAAATTTGCTCTTTAACATTCTTGCTTCCACAAAGCAAATGCTAAATGTAGATGAAAAAACGAACTATGTTTTCCTATGATCCCAATATGAAGTTATACTTTTATAAAATTAGTCGAATGTAAATAATGGTGAGGCAAGTTGACAACATGTCAAAGGATTCAGTGAACTCAAAAATCCATATTTGATATGTTGTTGTAACCGAAATATTTTTCAAAAAAAGAATTCAATAACCGATATAATGCCAAGGAAAGAAAAAGAGAGAAACTTCACATGACAAATACAAACAAAATAATTAGACACAACAAAAGGATCAAAAGTCATTTTAAGTACCTCCAGAAAAACAAAAGTTGCGAACAATATGCAGGAACAACAGTATTTCCACGCCCTTGGCACAGTCAACAAAGTAAATCGAAAATTGTGGACCAGAACTGAAGTGTATTCCCCCATTATTTTTCTGTTGCCTATTTCTACTCCAAGGGGCATAATATATCCTGAGTTTAAATCGAAAATGAAACATATCAAAAACACAATCTAACTACAAAATGTTTCCACATATAAGAAGGATGAGAACAAAACCATCCTTCCCGCCAAAATAGTCAAAATGACAGAACGATCCTTCCTTTCTTGAAAGTAGGAAGAACAAATAATAATAATAACAATAATAAATCTTTACTGGATGTAGAAAACCATCCAGCACCAGAAAGCAATCCTATGTTTATTAATCCCTATCACATCTTTCTCCAGCTCCCAAAAATAGCCAATACTCTGTAGATTGATCATCAGAAGCTCTATGCCTTTGCTATCACTGTTGCAGCAGGGGCAGCAGGGGCAACACCTCCGGTGGTTGGCCTGAAGATAGTGCGAAAACTCTATTAGCAACTCAGGAAAAAGTTTCGTTTCAACTTGTAGCAAACAAAAGGGAATGAACTTACAGTCCAACAAAAACTTTGAATGCATCATAAATTCCCCATTGAGCCCCAGTTAATGTTCCAATCATGACAATTCGGAGTGGAAGTCCACGGGTGAACAGTCCCCACAAACCAAGCTTCTTCACAGCCTACACACCAAGAAAAAACAGGTAAGAAATCAAGTAAAGAATGCAAGTAAAACAATTCTCTTCGGTTCTACTTCTTCCTAAGGTGTACTACTTACATCGCCAACAGTTGCCCCTTTTGCATTGTTGAGGAAAGAGACAAGATTATCAGCAGGGTGAGAAACAATAGCACAGAAAACACCAGCAACGTAACCGCCAGCAAAACTGATCCCAAGCTGCAAAGATTTGCTGCACTGGTCCTTCGGGGTTGGAATGGCATACTTATAGATCATCTCGACTATGGTCTCAAAAGACGCAAACTTCATCATTGTATCTGCACCAAAATATCATGTTATTCATATAAAATTATTGGCAGCAACCAGGCCTTACCCAAGGCAAAGGAGAAATTAAACAAACAATGAAATAAAATTATTTGATATTAGGCAATCCATCTTTTAAGAAAGCATATCAGTAAAGACAGGGATGCATCTGTTCCAATCAATTATCAATTATATCTAGTTTTCGTGGGAATCCTTGATAGGTGTTACAACATTACAGTCTTACAACCTAAAGTTTCTTACAGCATTACTAAAACTATCAAGATTGTATCTATATGACAATATAAAAATGTTATATGCTTTAAGACAACACACGTATAGCAAAATTCCAAGTGCATATACTGTATAACATGAACAAATAGTACTTAAAGGTTATTAATTGAGTAGAAAACCAACTTACATGGTATTTGACGTCCCCACAGTGGAACAATCCCCTTGTACAACCTGCAGTTAGAATTGTTATTGAGAGATCCTAGCAGGCAGTTTTATTAAATCGTTGAAACACATAAGTAAAATTCAAATCATAGCATACCCAGAAACTCCTTCAGATTTGACAAACTTGGGAAATCCATCAGACATCCCTCTAGCAAAACCAGGCTGCGTTTGAACACGGACCTTCACTGCTTCAAAGGGGCAAAGTGCAACATCAGCAATCACCTCAGCAGATGCAGAGCCAGCAAGATAGATCAATGTCTTGTACTTAGCAAAATACTCGGGGCCAGCCAGGTCAGAATAGTACTTCTTGAAAAACTCATAGAATCCGAACTTGCAAGCACCCTGGGCACTGTAACCCAATAGAGTAGGTACCCAACCACGGAAGAAACCTCTAAATCCCTGTTCCTTGAGAAGAACTCCAAACCCAGATGAGATACTCTTGTACTTCGAAGGGTCAATCTGAAAAATCAATGATCCCAATCAATATTCACTGTCCTTTCTACTGTTAAATAGAAAATGACATGTTTAGACATGGTGGTCGCCTCTATGAGCTACTAAAAGTATTGTAAAAATAACTTTTAGTAAAAACAACTCTAAAGTGAAAACGGCATAATGTAATATTATGTTTAATTAATTAATTATAAAATCAATAATAATATCTAAATAATTAAAGTATTGCATGATAATAAACCACAATTAGTATATTTATTAAAATCAACAATAACTATTAAAATATAAAATTTTGCATAATAATAAAACATAATTATTATATTTATTCAAATAATATCATTTTTTATAAATTATTCTAATAATTAATATTTTTAAAATCTTATTTTAATTAAAATATTTCTATTTTATCAATATAAATATTAAATGTAAATTATTACTATTCTATTAACAAAAATTATTTAATTAATGTAAAACAAATATGAATTAGTATATTAATAAACTTAAAATAAATAATATACTCATTTTTATTCTCTTAGCAAATATCTACTTACGGCTTTTTATTTTCCATTTATCAAAACTCAAAAACATGTTATGCTTTTTATAAGGTGTTTCTGTTTTTTAACATTCAGTTAGACTTCTGTTTTTGGGCAATAAATACAGATGCAGAAATCCAGTTATTGATAGAGTTCAAGAAGAACGCTCATCAATGATGGAAATCAATATCTCGAGAAAATACTGAGAGTACATAGTTTTCCAACCCAGCAAGGTATTACCATCAGTTTCGGGGGAAAGAGAAATTTTACTTTAATTGCAATTTCCTTAGAAATTTATCAAAGCCATCAAACTCTGAGGAATGGTTCCCGACTAAAATATGCTACAGAAGAAATATCAAAATGAATATTGATTACACTCTAGGAAGAAAAACTAAATCGAAAAATGAGTTTCGCTATAAAATCGCAGATCTATGAGAAGCTGAGGAAGAACGATTTTAAGGTCTGCAAGTGAGGCAGACAGGAAAAAGAGCCACAGACCCAAATTCTATTCGCATCTAACATCAAAGCATTAAAAACACACAGAAATGACATATCAAACTTCAGCAACCATGACAGAGTATGACAGATTTGTACAGACGAAGATCCAACCTCGAGCAAAATAACTCAACAAACCCTATTTTATTCAAAGAAAAACGTACAAATAAAGATCGGTTAAAAAACAAGCATGAGGCACTAAAGCCAACAGAAGCTAAACACACTGAAAGACAAAGCACAGATCTAACTTCTGGAGCATTATAACACAAAACAAAACACGGAAATAGGAATTGGAAAAAAATAAGCATCGGATCCATTGATAGATATCTACGTATGAAGAAATATAGATGAACAAAGAGAGATGGAAGACCTGCATATTACACTTGACAAGGTCAAGGGGAGTGACGGCCATGTGAGTAAGACCGCAGCTGAGGATTCCACCAGCGGTACACGCGGCATAGAATGCTGGCGAGTACATCTCGATCCTCTTCCCAGGCTCGCTGGGAGAGGCAATCACGAAGGTTTTCCTCTGGAACACCGCGGATGAAGCCGGAGCCGGCGATTTCGCGGCTGATTCCGCGTTTGATGATGCGAAAGCAGCGTTAGGGTTAGCGCTGAGCATTTGAAACAGCGACAGGGATCTCGGTGAGGAAGAGGAGTAGAGGAAGTCGGGGATGAGAGACTGCCTAGAGGAATCCATTGTTGTTTGGCGAGAGAGACAGAGGAGGAAGAGAGGCAAGGAAGGGAGAAATGAAAATGTATAGGATTTGCGCCTTGCTTGCCAATCTCTCGCTGCCAAATGCGATGTCAAAAGGCGTGGGGGGAACTCCGGGTCAATATTGGCCAAAACCCTCGCGTTATTTATACGAGATTGGGGTGGCCAATAAATGGGTCGTTCTTTCTGATTAATTACGAAAATGACACTCCACCTTTTCCGTAGACCACCTAATCAACACAACCGTTCGTATTCATATTGGGGCGAACCGTTTTGTATTGCAAACTAAGTATATATTTTGCTATTTAGTTTTTTAAATTCTAAATATTTAATTATTAATTAATATTTCAGAATTTGTTATAATGACAGTTTGTCACCAACAGCGGCTTTTTTTTTATTCCAGTGATGACTAACCATCATTTCACAATAATATACTAAATTTTAAAATTAAAATAATAATAATTTTTCCCTGCCGAATTGGTAGGTTGTGGGCGAACTGTAAATACATGGAAAAGCAAGGGCATTTGTTTAACGCTCTGGCCTTTGTACTAAATAGACCAGCCCAAGGGGGCACTTCGGCATATTCCATAAACGTATTATTTGGAATCAATTTAATTTTTCAAATAAATGTAAAAACTTTTCTTTGACAAATTCAATTATTCCTAAAATTGTAATGATGATATTTAAAAAAATATAATTATAATCAATAATTTTTTTAATAAAATGGTTAATATGTATTTATTTTTATAAAAATTTAAGAGTTCAAATTATTTTTGTATGTATTATATGAGGGCAAGGAGCAGAGAGGATGAGGAGGAAATCAGGGTTGAATACTAACGGGAATATTATGAGCAATAACTTCACCTAATTAAAGCTTTGCGTTTTGAATTGGAGAAAGAATCTCTTCCTTCGCTGCTATATATTTCATCTTCTATCTTCGGTTCAATTGATTTACATGATAAAAAAAAAAGAGCACAACAACAATAACATGGCTTCTTCTTTTTTATCAGGTTCTGTTAGTCATAATAATGGTACCCACCAGCAATCTCCATGGCTGAAGACAACTCTTTTAGGTTACTCTCTCTCTCTCTCTCTCTCTCTCTCTCTCTCTCTCTCTCTATTATATACACACACACATACAGCATTACATGTAGCACATATATAAATATATGAGAGTGAGTGGTTTGCTCACATGGAAGAACAGAGGTTAATAGGCCCACCTCCATCAATGTTAATGTTAGAACATAAATCAGCTTAAGCTTTTATGATATGGCACCAGAGTCTAATATATCCCGAGTCTAAGTTGAAGAACTTACCTTTATCTTGACTGTTATTGGGCTATTGAGCCTTGCAAAAATTTCATTGCTCAATATCCGCTTCTGTACTTTTCAAAGATTTGTATTGTTCCTGCAACTGGTATAGTGTAAGAGGCATTAAGAGTTGAATAAATCCGTTTGTATAACCCGCATTTAGAATTAGTTTGTAGCTTACTTTCGCAGGTTTTGCTGTTTTGCAGGCTTTGATAAGAAAACCAAGGCCATGATAACACTCTTGGAAGAAGATAGCAGCTCTTGGACTAACAACACAACTCAAATTTACCGCGACAGGAAACCAGAATTCATTCAAATGCTTGAACAGTTAAGCCAATGTTACCATTCCTTGGCAGAAGAATATGATCACTTAAGGTCTCAATCCAATCATGCTCTACATTCTAAGTCCGAAGATCCTAACCGAGAAGTTTCAGTTTCCCGTCCAGAATCTGTCGCTGAAGATCCTGACCCTGCATGTGTTATTGCTGGCTTTGAACATCTGAACAATCTACCAGATGACCTGCTGCCAACTGAACCCCGTAACACGAACATCAGAGAAGACTCTGAAATAAGGGAGATGCAAATTATAGATCATGGTGGAACAGGAGATTTCCTTCCAGCTAACAAGTCAGAGACTACATGGTCTGAACTCAAGTTTCAAGTCATAGACCTTATAGAAGAGAACCTGAGGCAGCAGAGAGAGTTGCTAAGCAGGAATGATGAAAAGAGAGCAGCCATTAAGGGACTCCGGCTACAGTTGGAACGCTTAAAGGGTGAGAATGCAGTCCTCCGAAGCTGCCTTGAATGCTCAATCGATGACACCAAGGGCAAAAAATTTCAGACATCATTGTTCAGAAGGATACTTTCTGGGAGTTTCTTCAGAAGGTAGTGCTCTCATTTGAAATGCAATTGGCTGCAACTAGGAGTTTTACAACTGTTCTTTTCACCAAGAAAAACCGGAACAGATTTAAGTGAAGTCCAATCTTCAACGTCAAAGCTCAATCCTACCTCATGGATGTATTTTCCGTCTATTGCAAATGGACTTATCCCTTTTCACTTCTGTAGAGTAAACCATTTTAATAAATTCACAGGTTGCCCAATTGTCCCAGTCTAAAAATTCTTGGCTTGTATTGTGGTGCAAGGACAATGATGAATCACTTTGAACTAGTTTAATATTATTGTTCACAGTTTGCATTGTAATCCAAACCCATGAGAAGACGATCCAACTCTTCTGATTAAGCACCCAAATTGCTTTTTCTTCACGCTTCCTAGTCAAATTTATACCAAAATAGCTTGTAGAAGTGATACCATCCAGCACAAAAATTCTTGCATTAGGCACCTCTTACAATTTTCCATTTCCTAAACGGGTATATCACCAATGACCTCCACATGAACACAATCCATCCTTAAAATGATGGAATCTTTTTGAATCCCTGACAAGAATTTCGCGATTAGTGACCTTCGAGATTAATTTAATTACAGTATGGCAATCACTGCAGACCCTAAGGTTCTTGATGATCTGGATAGTTGAACCAGGAAAAGAATTCATGATTCCAAAAGCAACAGCGAGTTTCTCACTGTGAACTCGTAAAGTCATCTCCTTCTCTTCTTCATCAACATCATGAAGAACTGATGTCTTATTGGGGACATAACCAACTTCCTGTAGTTTCACACTAAGTTCCTCCAAGTACGCGTATATCTTCTCGTGCTGAGGATGTTCTTTGTCTCCAACCAAGAATACATGAACCTTACCTTTCAGTTCAACCAAACTGAATCCAGGTGGTTTAACCAGTCCACAGTTCTTCATAACTATTCTCATCTTCTCAACATCTTCCCACCTTCCAGCATCAGCATATATGTTTGAAAGTAAAACATAGTATCCACA